TATACCATGTTATATGTTTTTGTGTATATATACATACAAACATATGGCACATTAAAGACATATAGCTGTGAGATTAAAAACAAGAGGGAGAAAGGTATAATCTTCATCGATGATGTGCCCAGGACATCACTGTGAAATACAAAGAGCTTTATATGCTCTGCAGCAGCACTGATGGTGCAATCCATCTGCCTTAACCAAATTATTGTAACATGATCTTGTACTCAAGTTGCAAATAAAAAAGCTCTACCAAGCTCATTAGCAGCAGTCTGAGTGTACTTTATCACTTCATGCCTATAAGCATAAATTGTGATATTTTACTGCTCTTAAATGATGTGTGATGAAATGATTGAAGACATCATTATGTGGAACAAAATTCAGCAGCAAGTGTGATGTTAACCATGTAACACTTCAAGCTCTTATGGGAGGGAATGTTAAGTACTTTCACTGAAGAACAGCAGGGAAGTGGTATTTGTTATGATTAAGACCATATCTAGAGAAAGAGTGGGTCTTTGATCTTATCACAGATACTCATGGTTAGAGAACCCAGCAAGTGGGAGAGAGGAAGTAAAGGATCTTAGTTACTTAATCAATGTTAACCAGAAGCCTGGGGAAGTAGTTCTTAATGTTGGCCAAATACTAGAATCACCGGTGGAGCTTCTCATGCTAGGAGCTCTTTCCCAAAGATTTCAGTTGAATTTTTCTGGCTAGGGCCAGGCATTTATAGTTTTTAAAGCTTCCAGATAATTCTAATGTACAGCCAGAACTGACAACCTAGTATTTGAGGAGTCACAGATCTTTATTAATGCATCAGATTTTTAGAAATTCCTTTCCCTCTGTTTAAAAATGTTAAAGAGATTTGATGTGAGAGTAAATGTAGAAGCAGGAGAGAAGTACTTTATTGGGAGACTCTAGAGAAGGAATGGCAATCTCTCAAAATCTTCACCTACTGATTCAGATGTTTAAAAATTCACTTTATAAGTGAATAGCTCAATACAAATTCTAGTGACAAATCTTGTCTGGAATGATTCAGTGCCTCTAACCTGGAAGCATAAAAGCACTTCATTAATTCATCATTTCATCCACTCATTTAGCTTTAGCAAGAATACCTAATGCAAAAACAAAACAAAACAAAACATGGCCTGTGCTCTCCTGACACCCGGAAACAAGAGGCACAGAGTATGCACCTATGGTACTTAGATTCTCTTTTTCCTCTCTGTATTTGGAGCAGGGTGCTTTTTCTAGCTCAGGTAAATGTATCTCAGGGCTGGGTATTGCCTTTGTGCTATAAGGTGGGAGAGATAGAATCTAGAAGATTTCATTTTGACAGATGAATTCCTGGATACTTTACCTATTAACTACACTAGGACATGAGCTGCTCCCCCCCACACACTTGGAGCCACCTCTACTTTTTCATGCCCCTTTCCATCCAGTGGTGAACACTGAGGCTCTAGAGAGACAGTAACCTTTCCTGGGGGCTGTGTATAAGAGAAAGCAGGGTGAGGGCCATGAAAGGGTTAAAAGAACTGCGGTAATAGTGAGAGGAAGCGGGTGAGGATGGGGGTTACTGAAATGCAGACTGAATCCCTCCAGGAACCCCTCCCATAAAAACCATGCTCTTGGAATTTCTCACCCAAATCTCACATTAAGGACTGACTGATTACAATTTCAGATTTTGTGTACTTAGTATGTTATTATTTGTGACTGTTTTACCCCCAACGAGATAATAGTACTGGGGTTACAAACATTATAGCACTTCCAAGAAGGGTCAGTCTCCTGTCAATAGCCAGCAAAATCTACAGAAAGCTGAAACATAGGAGTTACTAGAATTTCATAGAACACAGATTTGTTTTACACTGGAAGAAACTGTGGATCCACTTACCCCGCCCGCACTTGTTTGACCTGTAGAAATATTGACAAAGTGTGGGGTGGGGCAGAGGTAATGTTAGAGGAGGGAAGGCACAGGCTCCTCGGAGGACAGAGAGATTAGTCTCGCTGTTTAGAAGATTTAACTTTGGGGAAAAAGTGAATTATCTTAAACAAAAGAAACTAAAGTACGAATAAGAACAATAATGTCAAACATTTAGATATAGGTTATGAGGTGAAGGAAATTCTTTGAAGGAGGTCGAGAAAAATTGAAATTGATTTGTGTTAAATAAAGTTCATAGGAGGCCATTGTTTTACACTGAGCTCCTGTTTTAGGCCCCAGCAGACCAAACCAGAACAGAATGGAGTCACTCATGATAGGTGCAATCGCCTTGTATTTAGAAATGGCCAGTTAAAAAACAAAAACAAAATAAAAAACAAAAGAATTACAGTAACCTGTCAGAATGGGCCTAATTTTCCTAGTTGGCACAATGAAAAAGTTCCTTCTGCTTTGACCCTATAAGAAAAGTAACTCTCAAACAACCAATCTGCTTTTTTTCTTATTTCTGCTTTCTTCAGCCCTTTTCTTCCTATAATCCCCACCATCTCCCCTCAGCTCATTGGAACAGCTATTCTATTTTATAAAATAAGATATTTCTTACTTTTAGAATCACTAATAAAAGCCAATTAGATTTTAAAATTTGTTGTAATTTTGTCATTTTACTCTTGTGAGACCATCCCAGTTAAAGTTTAAAAAACAAAAGGAAAACATTTCTTCTTTTTCATCTCATTCGTGGTCTTCCTTCCTTTCTCTTCCCTTCCCCACCCTAACACCCCTATCCCTTGCTCTGGGTCTCTGGATGTCCAAGCAAGGAGGTGCCTGACCTCAGTGCAGGCACTGGTGCAAACAGGAGATATACCTTCCTCGTGTGTCAGTGAGGTTGTTCCACACGGAGGCTGTATGGCTGACTTTTAGTAAAGTTGTTTAATGAGTGAATGGGTGTGGCAGCCATAAACTGTCATTCTTAGGTTGGTTCAACGCATATACTGAGCTTCCTTATTTTGTGTGGGTCCAGGGCATGAGGAGTTATGTACTAGTCACCGGATGTATTTCTGCTAAGACCTGTACAGATCACTGGGCCAGATACTGGGGGATTCAGAAATAAGGACAAATCCTGGCCTTCCAGGAGCACACTAGTGACTGGACCTGAATATATTAGTGATGAAAAAAGTAGAAAATGTAGACTAGTGTTTTTTTTTTTTTAACAAGTAATAAAGATGCATCAGTAATGTTAAACCTGCCTGATTTCTTGGCATTTTTGTTTTGTTTTTGTTGTTTGGTTGCATAAATATACAAAACCAATTGCTATCATGCCCAGTACTGGGGGGCGGGCATTTTATGATTCTTAGTTCAGTGACTGCAAGCTCATTAGAACCATGGAACTTTTGGCTTTTCTTGTTTTTAAAGTTGCATACACACCATTGAAATATCCAACTAATAGACGCAAAGGAAAAGCACTTACATAGTGTTTCTAATCTAAGAGAACTGTGGACAAGGAAAAGAGCATCTCTGCCAACTTTAGAAATTCAAGAGAAGAGGCAGGTCAAGTATTTTCTTTTCTTCCTGGTGCACATTGATAGGCATTTTTCAAACTATGTTTGATTAATTTTTGTACTCTTTTATTATTTTTGATTGTTCAGTGGTAATGTTTATCTTTAACATACTTAAAAGTACTTTTCAGTAATCCTCTCTTAAACTTTACTGTATCTATTTATGTTTATTTTTAGTAGGAGGATTTTGAAAAGGTCAAGTAGTATCTAAGTAATTGTATTCCAAGAGTATTTCAAAGGGGTCCAGGTGTATAAGGGTGTTGGACCATTGTGAACTTGGAATGCATTCAAGTGCATGCGTCACTGAGAGTATTCAGTTAAATGCTTAAAAGTGGCAGCAAACTTTCAAAGTAGGTACATGGGTTTAAGAGGTGTAGAAATAGTTCAGAAGCACCATAGGTAGAACAGCAAAGGTGGCAAATGGGAGCTGCGCTTGTTGCTCTTCCAACCTCTTTAGACCCTTCTTATTTGATGGAATTCTGTTTTCTAACATGTTGTGACCTCTATCCTGTTATCTTTCACGTTGTCTTCTCATGGGTTTCCATGTGGAAAATATTTGCCTGTCTGAAGAAGGAATGTAACTTTTTCTAAGCTCCAGGGTCCTTACTTGTAAGGGAGATCTTAATACCTACTTTAACATGTGCAACAGGTCTGCACAGAAAAGTTCCTTGGTAAATGTTGGTTTTTATGCTACCATTGTAAGATCAGTTACAACATTAGATTACTAAGAAATAGACTGAGGAGCCAGGGATGTAGTACAGTGGCACAGCACCTGCCTGGCAAGCGTGAGGTGCTGAGTTCAATCCCTGGTACAAAGTGGGGGGTGTGCCACCTACATAAATAGTGTAAAATGAGGACCAAGCAAAAATCTGAAGTGAATATTTTACTTATAAAATTAAACTCAATTTTATTTTGCAAAAGTCAACAAAAACATACTCAGACTTCATTTCTTTTCAAAACATGTGTTTGCTTTTTAACAAACATGCAAATTAATTTGGCCTGCCTGACATCTTTCTTTCTAGCTCTCCTTGGATTTTTTTCCTAAAAAAATAAAAGGTACAAATATTGTCCAAAACTTATTTATATTACCACCCTTCAGAATTACTAACAATATTTATTAAGAGGAAAGAAAAGCTGCAAGGCTTGGTCTTTGGCATTCATATTTGATTCACCAGTATAATTAAAAACATATTTACTTTTAAGATAAACATTTTGAGGAACATTTAATAAATGTTGTTTTTGTTCTTCAAAGGAACCACTATATCAAAGCATTTTAACTGGAGTCGTGTAATTCCTGCTGGTAGAATATTACTTCTAGCCTATTTATTAGCTTTTCTTTCTGTACTCAGTACATGCTTTTTTTTTCCCCTTCCTCTAAGTGAAAGCATAGCAAGGAAACATTTTTTTTCTCTTTCCCCCCCAGCATCATGCAAAAGCAAAGCAACATCAAAAGTCACAATATCTGAATTTACTTGGATTATATTTTGTTTCTTATTATGTATTATAATACTTACTTGTATATCTAAAATTAACATTGTTGATTTTTAAATATTTGAAACAACTTATGAACCATGTCTGAAAGAAAATAATTTCCCCCAGCCTGCTCTTTTGCATTAAGGTAAAATAATTTTAAGTAAATTTAATTAAAAGAAATAAAAGGATTTTAGGTGTTAGTTTACTAGAAAACAAAACTTTACTGGGTCACGTAATTTATTCACATCTTTTTATACATTGTAAACAAGGATAGGATACTTTTGGCAGTAGCCTATGAAGAGTTTTTTGGTAGTATCTTCTTCAGTATAGAATAGATGTTAAGGGGAGTATTTTAATATAATTCTAGTAGGGTCTCTTATGAATTTATTTTCCAGAAAAAAATTTGTCTAAAGTCAACCTAATTAAAAAAATAAAGTGATAAATTTGCATTAAGGGACCATGGTATGTGAGGTAAAGGCATTGTACGTTCTATAGTCTGAAGCACAATGTATCAGGTACAAAAGAAACTAGAGAGACATCTATCTGAAACTCCAGGCAGTACGTATGTGCATAGAGAAGAGTGTCTTTTTGGCCAGAAAGTGAAAGATGGCATTGTAGTCACATAAATCAATAAGTTGTAAGCAACATACATATGCAGTGCCATTTCACAGAGTGCAAATGAGATCAGTTGGAAATTGTACTGTGATATCCACATATTTTTGAGAAAAATTCCCAAGCCAGGCGAATGTGGATCGGGATGAAGACATAGGCAGTGTACACAACCATGGCAAAAATGGTTAGTACAACAGTATTGAACATAGATTGCTCCCAGGGCTCCAAGACAGCACAGCATGTAATGATTTGGTATTGATAGTAGAGCCAAGAGAAATATTCTTTCACACGCCTGAAATCCATGCTCATGATGCTCTTTCAAGCTGTAGAAAGTCCACCCTGTTAAGAAGATAATAGAGTAGAAGAAAAATAAAATAAGAAGCCAAACATAGAATTTCCTTAAATTTTTGCAACCTCAGCATTCTAAAATCTGTGAAAGAATGTTAAATATCATTGAATGGATTACTAAAATGAATATTATACAGAAACAGCACACAATATGTTAATCATAAAAATATTGTCACAACTATCAACAATGATTTCTATAATTTATGAAAATCATATTATTAGTAATATCTATCTAAAATGATAATTGCTGGTAAGAACTCAAGTGATAAAACTACCTAAAAGTAGTTTATATTCACATTTTCTTTATCCATGCATA